GTTGTTGGTATTGCTGGACGTGTTGTAGGTGGCGGACGATTTAGAAGTCTTTTGAAGTGTTCAACCCAGTGCTTTCTCTGTTCCACCTCTTTGGTGATTGACTTTCCATTGTCGTCCTTTATTGGCTTAATCTGTGTCGAACGTTTGCCCGAAAGGTTCCTAGTTGTTTGGTAGAGTGTGGCGAGGTCTCCTTTGCCTGCAGCTTGTTCTGCTTCGTTTGCCATGGTTTCATAATATTTTCTTTTGTCTTCCCTGGCACTTTTCTTCACTCTTTTGTTCAGTGTATTGTAGCTTGCATTCAGCTCCTGTTTTTGTTGCTCGTCCGTGCACTGGATAATCTTTTGCTTCACTGTCCTTCTCTCTTCTATTAGTTTCCAAGTGTCCGTAGTGAGCCACTGTTTGTCCTGTCTCTTTTTTCTGCCTAGAATTTCTATGCAGGTTTGGCTCCACACCGTTTTCAAGTTGTTCCAGTGCTTTATAGATTTTCATGTGTATTATTATAGAATAATGTTAGCAGAATAACACAGTCTTCTGATCGGTGTTTGTTTCTCACAGAAAGTTAAACTTGCATCTCTTCGTGGCTGCTTCTTGAATGGCAGATCATCTATATGTTAACTGCATCCGCCTACACAAAGCCTTCGTTCTCATTTTTCTCGCGACCAATAATTGGGACATAAATATTGCAGTAAATTACTGTCCACCAATTTTGACTAACAGCCAACTCTCACCACACTCGTCCCCCGTCAAAGACTAGTCATTGAAGTTAGTTTGGTCTTCTTGGTTCTAGGGATTTTGCTCGTTTGTGTTGCTGTCTGGAATCTTGGCACTCGCTGATGTTCACTTGTTTCTCTTTGTCTACCATTGCGATTGTATCTGAGTAACCCCATCTAAACGTGACCATGTGTGGCCCTTCCCACTTTGGAAAATGTTTGCCTGACCCTGTCTAACATTCGTCAGTATTTCGCCCAACACTTTCATATACTGTTTTCTCCCGACCTCCCGGCAACGTCTCAAGTAGCAGCCTCATTGCTTACAGATCTTGAACGCCACTCATTTTTCTTACGACTAATATTTGGGACATAAACAGTGACGTAAATTACTGTCCACCAATTTTGACTTACAGCCGGCTCACACCACAATTTGACTTCTGTAATAGTAATCAGCCGGATGCAACTATAGCTCAGTGAATATTGATGTTCCTGCCTAACCTCAAACTAGACACGCATCGTTTCAGACGTCATGGAGTTGTGAGCTTGACCGGTAAGTCACAAGAGATGCTTATTGTGTAAGGATCCCGCTGAATAATTATTGCTGAACCCAAATATTAAGTCTATGTTGCTGATATGATGACTGCAAGCAAGGATATTGCAGACGCCTTTATTTCAAGATGATACTATATGGTTTGTTCTAGGAATGAGTTTCAGTGGAAGTACTAACCAATACTCACTGAGATACAGGTATCTCTAACTGACGACATGCACTTCACTATTAGCTGCCATCAATCAAGTAGCATCATATTTATACCAAAATCGTTGTCGATCCATCCATCTTAAGAGACAATATGTTAACACAGACTTACCATTTCGATGTAGTAAAGTCAATCAGAAGGGAACTGAGAATAATTTCAACAAACAACTTATAGTTTAATTGGCGGATGGTGACTAGCAGTGGAATCCAGGATAACGTGCATTTCGTCCTATTTTGGACTCGTTATCTGGATGTCCCTGTATTCCCCAGTGAGTGATGATGTTCAATTATGGATTCGAGCTTCCGTTGGGAACATCATCACTCACTGGGGGAATGCAGGCACACAAGAAGAAATGCGTATCCTAGATTCCACTTTTAGTCACCATCCACCAATTAAATTCTAATTAAATGCACAGACATCGTCAAAGCATCCGCAAAAGTAGCCGAAACGCACATGTCATTATAAGACGAAGAACTTCGGTCCAATCAGTCGACGGGAAAATCTAAAATTCAATTAAACAACTTAAAGGTAGGTATAAACTTTATTTGAAATTTTCGGATTGTCAACCAAAAAGAACATATTCAATGAGAGAATAATCTTCGGTAAATTACCTCCCATATAAGTTATTATAAAAAGGATTTGTAATCTCTGCGCAACACATGTGACAGTAGATACAATGGATTGTGCTTCTGTACAAATCACTTCGACAATTACTTCAAAGTATAAATGATTACTTTGCATCTGTCAGACAATTTTGATAGCTAGTTAATTTTTACAGGTATTGTCACAGACTGAAATCAGTTAAACAACTCCTGGTTGACCAAAGAGTACTGCATAGCTTTGTCATCATCCAAGTTTGGGACTTTTCAGTAACACATACTAATCAGGCCTCTAAACCAAAACCTTCTGGTTACAAGACAACCTCGCGGACCATTCAGTCATTGAGATCGTATCTAACGGCTCACGAATTCCATCTTCTGCCAATTCAGGTACGATATAGAGCGACTGGCAGCACTAGTCAATGTCATCGGTGACGAGTAGTCATCCTCACGCCCAACCTACTGTACCCCAATGGTCAAGAATACCCACTAGAACACCAGGTAACTAACCACCTACCTACCTACCTGAATAGTGAGCATCCGATTGATATTCAAGGAGTTGGTTTGCAGGGGTTTAATTTGATTGGCCAAAAGTTTCACAGCAGGTTTCAAATTAGGACAAAAAACCCATCTAGTACTCCCTGGGTTTTCCAATGGTTCACTTGCTAGTGTCGGCTTCGGATCAAATCTTTTACCACTTAAAACCTTGCATGCCAACAGTTGCTAGTTAACTTTTTATTAGTTATTATAATTATTCCCTTGGGTTACGAGTGGAACATACAGCTTCAACAAAACATCTCCACTTGTTTATATTATTTGCCATCCGCCTCAACTGGATGAACCTACGATCGCCCATAATCTACCGTCTCCTTCTCCTCCCCACACGAGCTTCCCATGCCAACCTCGCACTGACGACCCACTCGTCGTCTCCTGTTAGGATTCTAGTCGAGCAACGGGCAGCATTGCGCGCTATGTCATTCAACAGTCTCCTCAGCGTTTGCCCAATCCATCTCTACTTTCTCCTATCAATTTGTTAGGCAATCGCCTCTTGGTTGTTCTGTTCCCAGTCAGAGTTTCTTTCTGGATGGCGGTTGGCCATTTGACCTTGAATATTGGGCCAGCGAAGTGGGCAGATGTTGATTAAAGTTTGCAGTGGCCTGTTGGAAATGTTTTTCATGATCGCCCCGCCATATTTCTGACCCATATAGAAGAACTAACTGACTGACTTCATATTTTTGTTGAAAATCCGAACCTTCTTCTTTATGCTGATTGATTTGGTTACCTCAGAAGCCTTCCTATACTCGCACATTGTACGTAGATTCCACGTCCCCATTCATACTCTTGCTTCAATCGACAGAAGATACATCGGCTGACCGACTGGCTTCCTGAAGGCTAGCTTTCACCCGGTAGCGTCATTCTGCCTCTACGATTTGAACGAAAAATAAGTTTTTTTTTGAATATTTTTCGCATTTTTTTTATGTGTTCCTTGTTCGCTGAAGTTTCTCCAGCAATTTGAGTGGTTTTGGGGGGTGGTAGGGTCACTAGCCATACGCCTAACCCTCCCTTATCTACCCGGGATTAGGACTGGCTGGAAAACGAGCAAGCCAGTAAACTAAGCGAGGTTATTTTCTATTAAGTCATACTAAATAGAAATAGAATTAAAACAATTAATCCCCCTTTGATAAATTTGAATAAGGCACATTTAGAAGACAAATTTCGCGACATGATATCTAGTCATTTCGTGGTTTGTTTACAACCGCTTTACAACTAACATGGTTAACAATAATAATAAAGTAAAATGCATGACAATAACTTAGTTATATAAAAGAACAAAAGTACGTACTAATAACCAATCGTATTCAAATGGGTCAAGTAGTCCATGTTAGGCGAACATTGAAGTCTGTTGAACCAAACGAAGCTGTCTTTATTAACCTGCCATTCAAGGGTGGTCAGATTATGCAGTTGACAGCTAGCTCAAAGACACTTTGGTCAACCAGCCGCCAAACGTACATTATACGCTACATCTCTTTTACTCTCACATGCCAAACATTTTCAATCCCTATACCTACTTTTTTTGATTTACAGCTTGATTCCACACTGTATTTTTGGTACAAGTGTGGAATCTTCAGCGTGGATATCGGTAGCCCAAATTTCGCAGGCCGACCATAGATATCAGTTGTGTGTCGGTAGGGTATCGAAGCTCGGACCATGTGCATGGTCGACGAGAGTCCTAACCACTGTCCCACCGACGCACGTTTTTGAACACATAATTTAGGTTTCTGTTCATGTATAGCTAAATATTTGGCTATGCATAAGTGAAGAAAACGTAAACGTTTGGACAGATTCGATTTTGCCATCTAGATAACCTTGAAGGATGAATCCCGTGCTGCTGGATGACCAGACTCTAACAGGTGATCACAAATAGACGACATCGCAGTTGTACGTTCGCCTTTCATTAACCAAACCGGATAGTGTTCAGCTACACGTTTTTGGAGAGTACACTTACAATTTCCAATATAATGAGCTCCACAGGAGTAGGTAAAGAGTAAATGCACATAGATGTGGATATAAGCGGTAATCTGTCCTTGACGTATTGGTCATTAGAATGTACTTTTGTTTTTTATTTAACTGAGCGATTGTCCTGATCTTTATTTTATTACTGTTAACCATGTTAGTTGTAGAGCGGTTGTAAAGAAGCTACGAAATGACGAGATATTATCTCGCGAAATTTGTCTTCTTAGTGTGCCTTATTCAGAAAAAGAATTGTAATTTGAAATATATCCACAGGGATGGAAACACTCAGTGGTATGCCTAGAGGAGAAAATACGGATCACGAATTTCACGAGATAAACTGTAAAAACTATTTTTTAAATGACCTTTTGAAGTAGAGATTACAAAAAGTTTAATTTTGTAATTAAAATTAATCAACTCACAGAAAATCACAATTTGTATCGCCATAAGTGAATAACACATGCATAGTCTTTTTCGGTTCAATCCAGATTAGATAACCAGTTTCAGCGCATAAATGTGCAATATCTGTATGAAATCCCCTGAATATCAGGATAAAAGAATAGAAAGATAAGTGAGTGTTTGTTTTCGATCAAAACACTGTTGGAAAATGCAAACAAAAATTGAAATATAGCGAAAATATTCATTAAGACATTTAGAAGACAAAAACAAATTTGAGCAGTGAATATTCTTTTCGATACTTTCCTCTGCCCACTATACAGTTATATATTTGGAAACACAAAATATTCTAGAATAATTGTCATTAAGAATAGTGGGATTTTTCGTCTAAATAATATCGATTTTTCAAAAGAATGAACATTGAACAAAGAGTACTCTTTTCGATAACCCCTTCATCATCAGGCTCTACAGTTATATATCCATCCATTATAGTGAATGACTGAATGAATGAATTAGTGTTATGAACAACATTAATGTTGCTGTTTAAATAACATCGAATCAATAATCACATTGATAGATTACAGCTCACTAGTATCAACATAAAATAAGCTGAACGGCAGAAAAATTAGGAAAGATAATATTACAAATTCATGAATTTGGCACTTTATTATACACGCGGTAGGTGATAGATAAGGATTCTTCCCCGCTGACTGGCTTTTGTGGCCGGTTTGCACCAGATGGTCCAATATCGAACTGTGTTAGTTTTGTATTTTTTATTACAGCTTGATTCCGCACTGTATCTTTGGTACAAGTATGGAATTTTCAGCATGTGGTATCGGTAACCTAAATTTTGCAGGCCGACCATAGATATCAGGTGTGCGTCGGCAGAGAATCGAACTCCGGACCCTGTGCATGGTTGGTGAGAGTCCTAACCACTGTCCCACCGACGCACACAAAGCGGTTGATGGTTTTAACTACACCTTTACTTAGCCATAGTGGGAGATATTCTCGAGCACGAGAAGTTAGGTTCCTAGAGCAACGGCCACTATAACTCGCTCCGCAAGTGCAGTTGAATTGGTCGATAGAATTTGAAGTGACCAGGTAGTCTAGGTACTTCATCTTTCAGTCATGGTAGCACGGTCGGTCATGTAGACAATAAAAACGTGCAGTTCCCCAGCATTAAAAGTTCTTTGAAGTGATTTTCTTAATTTCCACGTAATTATCTCGTTTGGTACATCGCCCTTGAATTGTATTCGTATATAAATTGCCAAAATTATCGAAGCACCGCATGCTTCGAACAGCAAAGGCCATTGCCATTCGCTTCAAACAACCAGTGCTCTGTGTTCAAAAGAAGGAAGTCCAGCTAGCCACTACTACTGCCCTGGCCAGTCTTTAGTAGTTGTTCATAACACTAATTCATTCATTCACTATAATGTATATGCATAAATGTAGAGCCTGATGATGAAGGGGTTATCGAAAAGAGTACTCTTTGTTCAGCATCCATTCTTTTCAACAACTTTTAATGGGCATTTATAATCAGTTAATATCGATTTGTCAATATCACAATGAAAATACCACAGTCCAAGAGAGATGCACAATTTATGAAAATAAGCATAAAAATGTAGTAGTAAGTAGAATGTCAAATAAAATTAAGGAAGTCTCTACAACAAATTAAGGAATTCTCTACAACAAATTAAGGATCATTGAAACCCTGATGGTTGGTCAACGGGGTAAGGAAAGCGTTTGAATCAATTTCTTTTTTTGGATGCATAGATTAGGCTTGTTAATGTGAATTCCAACAGCCAGTCTCAACAATAAGTAATAGACGAACTCTTGAGGTAAAATCAAACTTAGTTGGTATCTGGTAGATGACTTTGGAAGTCGTCTAGTTTACATCAATTTCGTGTTGTGTCACTACAAGATGAGATAAAATAGAACTAATAAATAAACTTTGTTTCTCTCTTCCTTAACCAACCACTATGTAGGATGGTATTAGGAAATTCAATGATAAACACGTCCAGTTGTATGGCCTATATAACTAACTGGTTCACTCTACAGAAGTGGTCAAACTAATAGATACAGACGGAAAAGGCGAAATTGGGCAGTTTATCTTTAACTCCCGAACATGCAATAGGTGTGGTTTTGAAAACACAGCATACTTCAGCAACACAGAATACTCTTTTTACCACCGAATTCTTTAGGCGTTGTATTAGAATCTCATTGATGTTATCATTGAGGAATTGAAGTTGTAAGAATAAGGAATTTCTCGGAACTGTTGGTACTTTTGGCCTGCCTTGAATTTTGACTCTTATTCTTATGGATAAAAGTTTCTGGGTAACCTTTCTCACTCAGCAACTGTTTAATAGTATTAAGCTCTTCATTAAGACGATTAAAAATGCATTTATTGGTTTATTAAACCATGTTTTTGTTGGAGAAATTTCCAGATTGGAAACGACATAAATTGTTTGCCTCCCAAGTTATGTAGCGTAAAAGGATTGCGAAACAGGATTGAAGCGTATCTCAAATTCGAAAAAAATATAGTTTAAGCGAGATCTACCGTTAGTTACGATCATCTTCATTAAAATATATGTGTAAATCTTCGACACAGCAGTAGTATGTAATTCCATATTAATATGTCTATTATATATACCACACAGTGATCAAACAGTATTATCTACTGCATTACAAAGTTTCGAACACAATTTATTTTTATAGTTTGGTTTGTAAGGATTAGTTATGTTTCACGAGTTGATCACGGATTGATATCAGTTAGAGAAGCATTGAAAACCAGGGAGTACTGGACAGCTGCTGTTTCATCCTAGTTTGGGAATCATCGGCAGTACGCACCCACTGGGATTCGAACCCGGGACCTTCCGGTTACAAGGCGAGCTCGTATACCATTCAGCCACTGGAACCCGATTCAATGGCTCGTGAATTCTAACTTCTACCAATTCGTGATTTAGCGCGACCCCAACCATTGTCGTTGGTGGGACATCCATCCACACACGTGACATCTAATTGGACCTCACTGGTCACGACTTCTCACCAGAACTCAGGAAACTCCAACCTGTAGCAAGTCACTAGCGAGTATCAGATTAACTTTCTATAGTTTGGTTTGTTGTTCATAATCATTTCATGCATTATAATCACACAACTTCAAAACTCTCATTTTATAGTTTTCTTTATTCTCTCTTATTCGCTGTCGTAAGGGTGGTGGTAGAATTTTCTAGATATCCTACCGAAGAGGTGTTGAATCATTTACCTCAGTTAATTTGATAAATAAAGCTTCAGTTATCAAACAAACTCATTTCTGACCAAAAACTTGAACTTATAACAAAAATGACACCAGAAGACATCATGGCTAGGAGTGCTGCCACGTCTGACAAAATATACAAACAAATTGAAGGGATGGTCATCGTGTCACCAGTATCCCCGATTGTTGCTAATATCTTCAGGGGTAGGTGGGAAAACATAGCGACTGAAGAGTTCAGCCCCACCCCAAAAGCATGGTGGAGGTATGTAGTTGACACATTCACAGCACTCAAAAAGAACATATTATTATTACTATTTGCTTTAGTTCCTAGAGAAAAAGAGGGCTTCAGCCGCGCGTCTCCACTGCGTTCGGTTCTCTGTTAGAGTTTTCACCTGGCTTCAAGTCTCCCCATATGCTTTCATCTCCACTTCACATGACCTCCTCCTCCGAATCACCCTTGGACGACCAACTCTCTGCTTCCCTTTCAGATTACACTCGAGCAATGGCTTGTCTAGTGATGTCACTTGATGGTTTACAGCCATCAATCCACCTCCATTTCTTCCTGCTTATTTGTTGCACAATTGGTTCCTGCTGGGTTGGTTCGCTCATCGCCAGAGATCCCTATTGCGGATCTTTTCTGGCTGCCATCTGATCTTGAGTAGTATTGAACGAAGGCAGCTGTTAATGAAGGCCTGTAGTTTGTTTGAGGTGCTCTTTATGACGCGTCAAGTAGCACTGACTGACTTCACATTGGATTTTAGGACGTGGAACTTATTCTGCAAGCTAACTAGTTGATATCCACACAGACTTTAGAGTAATGAAAGCTTGTCTTGCTTTTCTGATTCTAGCTTTGATATCCTCGTCGGTTCCACCTGTAGTTGAAACGATGCTTCCAAGTTTGGTAGGTAGGTAAAGGAGATTGTTTCTTTCAGGTTCCTCCCATTTAGGCTGATTGCTGTCTGTAGTTGTTGTTGCTGTTGCTGTTGGTGTTGGCCAGGAATCTTCATCACCTACCTCTGTTTTCTCTATGTTCACCTGAAGTGAAGTTCTATCTGTGATGCTTCTTCTGCCAGCTTGTTGCTTTTCACCAGCGTATCTTTTAGTTTGTGGGAAATCAGATATATATCATCGGCGAAGTCCAGACCCTCCAAGTTTTTCGTGTGGATCCATTTTATGCCTGTTTCCTCATTGCCAGCTGTCTGCCGCATTATCCAATCTGCTGCAATCACGAGAATCATTGGCGATAGTTGGCAGCCAGCCTGTCTTACTCCCATCTTCACTTCGAAGGATTCCGTAGGTTTCCCGTTGTGGATTACTTTGCATGCAGCATTGCCGTATAACTGTTGGCTGAGATGTATATTTGTCGGTGGCATCCCGTAGTAGCTAAGTAAGCGCCAAATGACCTCTCGATCGACGCTGTCGAAGTCTTTTTCAAAGTCGATGAAGTTGAGCTAGAGAGGTGACTGCCATTCCAAGCTTTGTTCAGTGATGATCTGTAGAGTGGCGATTTTTAACCAATACATGACTTGTTTCTCCTAAATCAAGCCTGTTCCTGTCGAAAACACCATATGAATAGATTTTTCGAACACATAAACTCGAAGGTAGAGGCGATTCAATTCAATTATGAATTGAAAAGTCAGGAAGGGGAGCTTCCAATCTTAGATTGCAACGTAAAAAGGAAAGGAGGTGGGAAGTTAAACACCAGGATTTGCAGGCAACCCACACATTCAAGCAAATATTTGGACTTCCGACCATCCCATCCGATGTCAGTAAAAATAGGACTGGTGAAATGTTTAAGTAACAGAGCACAAAAACTAAGTAGTACCAAGGAGAATCTAAGACAGAAAGTGATAAACATAAGAGAAGCCATGAAACTTAATAATTACTATG